AACTTTTATGTTTTGACTAAAACTAGTTCAGTACGTATCACAGTGAACAAATGCAACCAACTTAGCGTACTGTCAAAACTGTCCACTGACTTTACTCCTATGGCAGTCAGGGTATTTTCATCTTTTCATGGGCTACGTTACTCCGATTGAAATGAAATTTTTTAAAAAATCATAAAATATCATTCTCTACAACTTTCATGTTTTGTACTAAACCTAATTCGGCCTCTAACATGATGAACTGGAACCGGGCAAAACTGAAGCTACAAATTCCAGAAATCTGGAATTTTGTTATATTCAAGCTATAATTCACATTTTTACCTTAAAACTACCACTACTTTCTCCTTTACAAGATTATATACCATATATATACATCATATAACACCTAACCCCCAAGAAACCCTAACTCAAAAGTCATCCCTCCAATCATCAAAACCATTTGAAACAAGCATCACAAGCACAATTCTAACATTAATACTCAACTTAATCATAATTAATGGAGAAAGAAAGGTTGATCAGCCATTAAACCTCAAGACAAGAGCTTGCAAGAAGGATCCTCCACTTCTTCTTGAAATATTTTGGTTCCTCAAGCTTCCTAAGCTTCCAAACTAGTGATTAATCGATTTAGTTTTTCTTGTTTGCACTCAAAAGGTTGGATTCAAGGTAGAAAATTGAAAACTCTCTTCACTCTCCTCCCTCTCCTTGCTCTCGGCTAACTAGAAAAAAAATGAGGAAGAATGAGCTCAAATGAAAGATTAGAAAGCAAAACAAAAGGGTTTGGTCAAAGGGCCATAGATGGCCAACAAGTGGCACCACCAAAAACCATCCAAATTTTGTTTTCTTTTCCTTGCATTTTGGGTCAATAATTTTGGCTATAAGGCTGAGGATGAGGGAGATATTTTGCAACAATATCAAGGGTATGTGGTGGTAGGGAAGGGGTGGTCAAGTGGTGGGTTCAATCGGTAGTGATCGATACCCGTCGGTTTGAGCCGATTTTTCTTAAATCGTGTATACTAGAGTTTTTACCTTCTAATCACTAACTTATTATTATCACTTCTAATCATATAACATTTCCTCATCCAAAAGTCACTCTTATCTACCAAATTTGATCCTCACTCTGTACCGAATAGTCACACTACGAAAAAATGTGAAAATCCTAACTCGCTCTAACTTGAAAACGGACAATGAAACCCCTTACTTTTATATTCATTTACACTTATTGTGGGGTGATTGGGTAGTAGGGCCATAATAAATGAATAATTTTCAAATAAATGGGCATTTTTAAGAAAAACATAATGAATTTGCAAGTCCTCACACTCTCTCCCTTTTAAAAGAATTTCGACCTCGAAATTCATACCTTTCGTTGTGAACAGGTCGGGATATTTCTCTTGCATGTCTTTTTCCAGCTCACAGGTTGCTTCTTCCACTTCATGATGCTTCCATAGAATCTTTACTAATGGAATCTACTTGTTTCTCAGGTCCTTCACTTTCCGATCCAATATTCGAATGGGTCGTTCTTCATAGGTTAAAGACTCGTCGAGTTCAATATTTTCTGGTGGCAAAATGTGAATCGAATCCGAATGATATTTCTTAAGCAAAGAAACATGAAAAACGTCATGGATCCGAGACAAACTAACTGGTAACTCAAGTCGATAAGCCACCTTTCCTATTCGCTGGAGTATATTGAAAGGTCCTATGTATCGTGATTGCAATTTTTTCCCTTTTTCTGCTTTCATCTTTCCTTTTAACGGGGTAATCCGAAAAAATACCTTATCTCCTATCTCAAACTCCAAATCCTTCCTCCGATGATCGGCATAACTCTTCTGTCGGCTTTGGGCTGTTTGAAGTCTCTGGCGGATCACCTTTACCCTTTCGTAGGGTTCCTCAACCCATGGTATTGTAGCCGGATCTATAATCTTTCTCTCTCCTATTTCATCCCAATAGATTGGAAATCAACACCGTCGTCCATACAATGCTTCATATGGGGCCATTTGAATAGAGGAATAATAGCTATTGTTATATGCAAATTCAACCAAGGTTAAGTATTGGCTCCAACTTCCTCCAAAATTCACAATACAGGCTCTCAGCATATCCTCAAGAGTTGGAATGGTTCTCTCAGATTGTCCATCAGTTTGTGGGTGATACACTGTACTGTAATTCAACTTAGTTCCTAGAGCCTCTTGCAATTTCTGCCAGAATCGAGAGACAAATCTAGTGTCTCTATCGGATACAATACTCACTGGTACCCCATGTAGTCTCACCACTTCATCCATATAAAGTTTGGCAACTTTCTCCAAAGGATATTTCATATTTACTGGCAGGAAATGTGCGGTCTTAGTTAATCGGTCCACTATTACCCAAATCGCATCATGCTCCTTTTGTGTTCGTGGCAACCTTGATACAAAATCCATCGTTATGTACTCCCATTTCCATTCAGGGATCTCTAAAGGTTGTAACAGACCTAACGATTTTTTATGCTCAGTTTTCACCTGTTGGCACGTAAGACACTTTTGTACAAACTGGGCAATCTCCGGCTTCATATTATCCTACTAATACAGACTTTTGAAATCTTGGTACATTTTATTACTCCTTGGGTGCACCACATACCTAGAGCGATGAGATTCTTTCAAAATCTCCCTCTTTAACTCCTCATCCCTAGGTACAACGACACGATTTCGGAACTTTAAGATTCCATCAGGACCTAGGTGAAAGTTAGGCAACTGCCCTTTCTTCACTTTTTTCACCCACTTTTGCACCATTGGGTCCTTCATTTGGCCCTCTTTAATCCGATCCAACAGTGTCGACTTCACCTCAATATTTTCAAAAATCACCTTTTTTGGTTCCAGACGAAGTTTCCACTCACATACATCTTCTAATAAGCTCCACTCTCCCACCATGGAACTTGCTAGTTGAGCCTTTCGACTTAAAGAATCTGCTATAACGTTGGCCTTTCTGGGATGACAGTTAATCGTACAATCATAATTTTCTAAGAACTCCACCCACCGACGTTGTCTTAGATTTAGCTCTTTCTGAGAAAACAGATACTTAAGGCTCTTGTGATCCGTATATACCTCGAAAATCACACCATATAGATAATGTCGTCATTTTTTCAAAGCAAACACAACAGCTGCAAGCTCCAAGTCATGGGTTGGATAGTTTTACTCATGAGGTTTTAACTTTTGAGATGCATAGGCAATCACATTCCTATTTTGCATCAACACGCACCCTAACCCTTCTCTCGAAGCATCGGTATAAACCGTGTAGCTATCGTTCCCATTAGGCAAAGTTAATACTGGAGCCATGGTCAATTGCTTCTTAAGCTCTTGGAAACCACTCTCACACTTAACATCCCAAACGTACTTTCCTTGTTTCTTTGTCAAGTTAGTTAAGGGTCCCGCAATTCTCGAGAAATTCTTTATAAATCGACGGAAGCACCCTGCTAAACCTAGAAAACTTCGCACCTTTGTGGGATTCTCTGGCCGCTTCTATTTGGCGACAGCTTCCACTTTCGTCGGGTTTACAGCAAGCCAATCTTTTGAAATTATATGACTTAGAAACGCCACTTTTTCCAGTCAAAATTTACACTTGCTAAACTTAGCGAACAATTGGTGCTCTCTTAGGGTTTGCAACACTATTCGCAAGTGGTGTTCATGCTTCTCCCTTGATTTTGAATATACTATGATATCATCAATAAACACCACTACAAACCTATCCAAGTAAGGTTTAAACACTCGATGTATTAAATCCATGAATGCCGCTGGGGCATTGGTTAAGCCAAAAGAAATTACCGCAAATTCAAAATGCCCATATCGAGTGTTAAACGCCGTTTTTGGCACATCCTCCTTTCTAATTCTCAATTGATAGTACCCTTGTCGAAAATCTAATTTAGAAAACACCACAACCCGTTGTAATTGATCAAACAACTCATCGATGTGGGACAAAGGGTATTTATTCTTAACAGTTACTGCATTCAATCCTCGATAATCAATGCATAATCTTAAACTCCCGTCCTTATTTTTAACAAATAGCACTGGAGTTCCCCATGGTGACTCGCTCTCATATATGAACCCCCGTTCTAGCAAGTTTTACAATTGTACTTTTAATTCATTAAACTCAACAGGTGCCATGCGATAAGGGGTTTTAGAGATAGGAGTAGTTCCGGATACTAGGTCAATTTTAAATTCAATCTCCCTTTCCGGTGGCAGTGACCCCAACTCCTCCGGAAATACGTCCGGATATTCACTAATTACCGGCATGTCCTCCAACTTAATCTTTTCTACCGGAGTGTTAACTAGAAAAACTAAATAACCGCGTGCCCCACGACTAAGCAATTTCCTAGCCCTTATTCCCGAAATGAGCGCAGATGAGGCTAACATACTCCTTACGTATAACTTTAAAGTTGTCTCACCTGGTATGCAAAACTCTACTACTTTCATCCTACAATCTACCCGAGCATGGTAATGAGCTAGCCAATCCATACCTAGAATAACATCGTACCCCTAAATTGCTAGACTAATGAGGTCGACTACCAATTTCCGTTCACCAACCCAAATATCACAATTTCTGTACACTTCATTCGCAAGTAAAATTTGGTTACCAGTAGGTGTTCTTACTTCGAAATTATAAGGTAGTCTTTCAACTTTCATGTCAATTCCAAGTATAAATGTAAGGCTAACAAAAAAAAAGGTGGTACCAGGTTCTATCAAAATTTTGGCTAACCGGTGAAAAACAGGGATCATACCTTCCACTACCTCTGTTGGTTCAGGCACCGATTGTTGGTCCAACGAGTACACTCTGGTCGGTACCCTCGACCTGATCCCTCCGACATTGGTCGGCTTTGGGTTTGACTTGCCAGTCGACTGAGTATCGCTGATCAACGGACAGTTGACTATCTGATGCTCCGTACTTCCACACCTTAGGCACTTCCGAGCCTTTCTCCAGTATTCATCCTCTGTATGGTTTGGTTTCCCATAATATCCGCACGTTACTTGGGGAGTGGAAATCTAGCCTCCCTGTGAAAAGCCTCTATCTTGTCCTCTACCATTTTGGCCTCCCCTCTGGGCACCTCCTCTTTGGGAACCTCCTCTCTGAGCACCTTCTCTCTGAGCACCTCTCCTAGATGCACTCGAAAACCTTCCACCTCCAGCCCCACGACTGGATTTAGCAGGTGGCATGTTCCGATCACTTTGCGCTGACCCTTGAACTCCACTAGATACCCTTCTCCGTTTTGTGTGAAAATTTCTCACTTGTACCCTGACAGTCTCTATCCTTTGGGCCTTCTCCAAAATCTCCGTAAACGTATTAATCTGAGCCACCGCCAAGGCCTCTTGTATCTCCACATTGAGCCCTTGCACAAACCTCCGTACTCTTCTTTGCTCCGTAGCTATCGGTTCAGGAGCAAATTTTGATAGTTTCATAAACTGAGTCTCATACTCAGCTACACTAGAAGTTCCCTGTCGGAGTTTAATAAAATCGCCCTCTCTTTTCTCCTAAACGATAGGTGGAAGGTATTTCTCGTTAAACTCCCGTACAAAATTTAACCAGATCCATACAGTTCTCTCTCTCTCCCATTTGGCCCTAATTACATTCCACCAAACCCTGGATAGACCTTCGAACTGAAAAACAGCGAATTGTATTTGCCTATCCTCTGTATAATTTAAAGCAGCAAAGATGTTAATCATGGCTTCTAGCCATTTCTCGGCTCTCTCCGGGTCTGGTCCTCCCAGGAACTTAGGTGGAGAGAACTTCTGGAATCTCTTTAAGGCCCTATCTTGCCTCATATCGGGGTCCCTAGGTTGATTTACAAGGGATTGACCCTGTTGTTCTACTAAACGGGCCAGAATATTAGTCATTTGTTGGATTGCAGTTGCCACTTGATCTCCCCCTACAGTCTAGGGTTCAGGTTGTGGCTCAATCATTGTCTCTTCCTCCTCTCTCGGTTCTCGCACCGATTCCTGTGTTTGTCTATCCCTCACGGCCATGACTAGAACCGCGTCCTCGGTTAGTTCCACTGGCTTGACTTCTTCTACCCTCCATGTTTTGGATTTAACCAATTATAGACATGTAAACAAGGTAAGGTATGACTCATGTAGCACGTTTCAAAATGATAAACAGATGCAATAAAACGCATAATAAACAGGTTCTTCATATACATAGCAAACAAGTCACATATACATGCCAACCTAAGCAAGTCAAAGGCTATACTAGCCAAGGAACATAAAACAAAATAAACCCTATTTACATCCACCGTGACACGTTAAAGTCAAAAACAAAAGAAAACGTGTCGTCCTACTATGTTCTTAACTATCCCACAAAAATCTCCTTAACCCTAACAAGTGGTCTGGCTAAACGCTGACCCAACCGACTCCCTGGATGCACTCGGGTCCTCCTCCGAATCCTCCTCAGAGTCCTCCGGATCCTCCTCAGGAGCGCCAGGAACGTCAGGGACTGTAGGCACTTGACCCTCTTCGGCTAAGTCCCGAATCACATCCTCAACCAGAGCCTCGCACTCAGTCAGGATATGGTCAGTCCAGTCCCGAATATCTCCAACCACTCGCATAAGGCGTCCAGTAGTCGCCTAAGCCTGCTCGCGGAAGGCATCAGTCTGCTGCTGCTGCTCCAAAACCGAGACCTCCAACTCTCGGACCCGGACTCCCTGAACTCGGAGAGCAGCTTGGAGGCGCTCTATCTCCGACTGGCACCTACGATTGGCGCTACCCAATCGTCTCCGCTCACCGTCCACTACGAGCACTACCCGATCGAGATAGGTGTAGGTCTTCCAGCAGTCGCAACATCGGATCTTGCGCGTTGGGGACCACCGATGCACTGGCCCGCCGGGGCTCTCATGGTACGTGAGCACGCGACATACGGACCCTTCCAAATATGGCTCGTCAGAAGGTGCGTCAATAGGTACGTCAGTAGGTACGGGCTGAGACGGCCCAGCACTCCTAGAAGCATCAGTACCCGCCATCACCTATGTTTGCAAATAACATTGCAAAAGTAAGTACATGAGACGTAGAAAACAAGTCTAAAGGCTGAGCTCAAGAATAAAACCCTAGCCTATCGTATCAAGCACTTAATCTATCCAGATCAATTCACAACCTAGGCTCTGATACCACCTATGACGACCCCACTTCCGCCTAAGGCGTACCAAAGGGTTCGGCAAATCGCCTGTCCAATTCTCGCCAGAACTCACTCACTCGTATCACGTGCATACATTCATAGACAATAAATAACATCGCAATTCAAACTTATAACTTACATCGATGCACAATCAAGATACAAAGCCTCTATATACCAAAACTGGTTCAAAATATACACAATCCAAGTACAAATCAACCTAATCGAGTAATAGCGCGAGTGCAATTCAAAAGTCCAAAACAACTAGGCTATGCTAGTCTGTACGCATCTCACGCCTCGCTCGTACCCCTGTAAGAAAAACAAAACTAACGGAGTGAGCCAAAACTTGGTGAAGTTCCAAATACCAAATTGGCCATCAAATAAAGTAATAACAGCATGATAGTGAAATAGCGAGCAACAAGTCAAATCAGAGGGATAACACTTCATATAATCAAGGAATAACTGGTTCACATTTCACATGTAAGGATACAGTGGCTTATATCTCGGCTCCATCACAGCTTGATCGATTGGTAGTTGACACTCCGTCAACTTTCAAAAAATAAACTAGTAAAAAAAAATTTCACTTCACGCCAGTCTCCGTCCACCGATAAATCCCCGTACCGGGCCCGCACACCACACGAAACACGGGTGGTAATACTCGAGTATATCAATTAGCCGAGAAGATAACACTCCACTCGACATCACTAATTACCCAGGGTTTGTTATCTAATCGACCTGACCCTTGCCAGCTCGATTCGATTAACTAGCCACAGGGTTTCTAGAATTTCAGGCAAGATACAATTCATACGCATGTAGAGCAAGTCAATTGAAATCGATGAACAAGAACAAATCTCGTTATGACAAGTGCGATAAAGTACACATTTGCCTTATCAAATCACTTATATATCATGTAATCACATTGGTCAAAGATAAATCACAAATATCAAGTTCAATCAGATATTTGAAAGCACTCACCAAAAGTAGTGCCTCTAGTAATCGCGTCTGGATTGTACTCCGGATTTGGAGTACAAATCTGCGATAAAACTTGACTTAAGAACTTTGAAAATCGACTAAGATTCGAAACTTAGACGTTTCGTTCAATAAGAATCAAGAAATTGAAATTCACTTGGAGAATAGTCGTGAAACATTTGCTCGCTTTTAAAACTATAAAACTTTGTAACATTTATAATTGAAAATGCCATTTGAGTCGAAAGTACAAAGAAAACATACTCATAGTAGTCATTATTTTATTTCTCAAGGGTACAAGTTTTGCCAAATCCCTACTTATATACCTCTGTAAAAGAAGATGCAAATATCCTAGATAGTTCAAGTAGTAATCACTCTTAACCCTTACTCAAATTGCAAGTATATCTACCTAACCCTTGAGCGTAAATTTGAGCAGCACGCCCTTTGTATTTTCCTATTTCCAACCATTTATGGCTTCACTCTTTTCCTCAATCAAACATAAAGTTACACATAAAATAATCTCATTTCAATAGCCGTTCAATAGGCTCAAGGTCATACAAGTACAAAATCAAGCTAACGACATGTGCGGAAATGAAGTTTGGCAAAAGGACAGATTTGACGTGGTTTTGCATAACGGACACAACCGAAGTTACGCTTATCGGATTGGGATGAAATTTATACCATTTCGAAACTAAGACAAAGGGCTACAATTTTGATGAGGATTATTTAGTCCAAATTCCAGTGTAACCTAGTCAAATTCCCAATTCACAGAACCAAATTCCAGTGTAACCTAGTCAAATTCCCAATTCACAGAACCAAATTCCAACTAACTGGCCAGTTAACATACTACCTTCAAATAGCCATATCTCAAGCTACCAAAGTCCGTTTAAAACGTTCTTGGAGGCATTGAAAAGCTAAGACATAGTACTAAAACTTTCATGTTTTGACTAAAAGGTAGTTCAGTATGTATCAAGGTGAACAAATGCAACCAACTTAGCGTACTGTCAAAACTGTCCACTGACTTTACTCCTATGGCAGTCAGGGTATTTTCATCTTTTCATGGGCTACGTTACTCCGATTGAGTTAAAATTTTGTAGACAACCATAAAATGTCATTCTCTACAACTTTCATGTTTTGTACTAAGTCTAATTCGGCCTCTAACATAATGAACTGGAACCGGGCAGAACTGAAGCTACAATTTCCAGAAATCTGGAATTTTGTTATATTCAAACTATAATTCACATTTTTACCTTAAAACTACCACTACTTTCTCCTTTACAAGATTATATACCATATATATACATCATATAATACCTAACCCCCAAGAAACCCTAACTCAAAAGTCATCCCTCCAATCATCAAAACCATTTGAAACAAGCATCACAAGCACAATTCTAACATTAATACTCAACTTAATCATGATTAATGGAGAAAGAAAGGTTGATCAGCCATTATACCTCAAGACAAGAGCTTGCAAGAAGGATCCTCCACTTCTCCTTAAAATATTTTGGTTCCTTAAGCTTCCCAAGCTTCCAAACTAGTGATTAATCGATTTAGTTTTTCTTGTTTGCACTCAAAAGGTTGGATTCAAGGTAGAAAATTGAAAACTCTCTTCACTCTCCTCCCACTCCTTGCTCTCGGCTAACCAGAAAAAAAATGAGGAAGAATGAGATCAAATGAAAGATAAGAAGGCAAGACAAAGTGGTTTGGTCAAAGGGCCATAGATGGCTAACAAGTGGCACCACAAAAAATCATCCAAATTTTGTTTTCTTTTCCTTGCATTTTGGGTCAATAATTTAGGCTATAAGGCTGAGGATGAGGGAGATATTTTACAACAATATTAAGGGTATGTGGTGGTAGGGAAGGGGTGATCAAGTGGTGGGTTCAATCGGTAGTGATCGATACCCGTCGATTTGAGCCGATTTTTATTAAATCGCGTATACAAGGGTTTTTACTTTCTAATCACTATCTTATTATTATCACTTCTAATCATATAATATTTTCTCATCCAAAAGTCACTCTTATGTACCAAATTTAATCCTCACTCCGTACCGAATAGTCACACTACGAAAAAATGTAAAAACTCTAATTCGCTCTAACTTGAAAACGGACAACGAAACCCCTTACTTCTATATTCATTTACACTTATTGTGGGGTGATTGGGTAGTAGGACCATAATAAATGAATAATTTTCAAATAAAAGGACATTTTTAAGAAAAATATAACGAATTTGCAAGTTCTCACAGGTTCGGTTTCTTCGGGATCAAGACAATAAGAGTGCTACTTATGTCCTTTGGGATAGGGGTTCCCGCCATGAAATTTTTTGTTGCCTGTAGGATATCTTTGGCAATGATATCCCAACAGTAAGTGAAAAACGTTCCAGAGAAGCCATTCGAACCCAGGGCGCTGCTGCCGTCGAGGTCGAATACTATCTGTCGTACTTCCTCAAAGGTGACCTCCTCTAGGAGCCGTTTGTTTTGATCCCAAGTCACAAGGGAGAGAATGTGTTGTAGTAATGCTCTAACCTCTACCGGTTCGTCAGCAGATAACAAGTCCTTGAAAAATCTCTCAGCCACTGCTGCAATTTGCTCGTCCTCCTCCACCTATGTCCCTGCATCATCTTTGATTCTGTGGATGGCGAGCTTGGCCCGCTTGTCTCTTACGGCGGCATGGAAAAAGCTGGTATTGCTATCCCCATCTTTGGCCCGTTTAATTCTTGTTTTTTGCCACCAAAATTCCTCCTCGTGTCATAGGCTGGATAGGAACTGAGCCTGGGTTCTGTGCAGCGTACTCCTAGAGTCATCTATTTTTAGTGTTTCGTATTCAGTCTCCCGTTGTTGCACCTCTAATTCTCACTGTTTCGCCACCTGAAAGATGTTCCCAAAATGTTGTTTACTCCAATCCTTCAAGTAGCCTTTAAGCCGCTTGAGCTTGTATGATAGGGAGTACATGTTGTATCCCTGAACGGGAAGACTCCAACTATCGTGAACTACTTGGAGAAAACTGGGGCTTGAAATCCAAAAATTTTGGAACTTAAAGGCCTTTGGGACCCGAGCATCATCCTTGCGAATGGTAAGAAGCAAGGGAGAGTGATTCGAGGTGGTACGACTTAGGTGCTGTATAGTTGTGGTAGCGGCGAAGCCAAGCTAGGCTTGGTTGACTAGTGCGCGGTCCAAACGCTTCCATACTCGCGTACTAGCTCTAACCCAGTCCAAGTGAAAAAGCTACCCAAGAAGGGAACTTCCATGAGAGAGCAGCCCTGTATCGTCTCGTTAAAGTCAGCAATTGCCCCAAGGTCTTGAGCGGCTCTCCCCACATACTTCGAGCCGACGATATTACGTTGAAGTCTCCCCCTACTATCCACGGCCGTGTGGCTGTGCCGGCTATGGACACCAGGTCCGATCACAGTGTGCGACGCTCTGACCGGGTGCACTTGGCATAGACAAAGGTAGCCATCCCGACACTAGACCAAGA